CTTTTGCATACATTATGTATACATCTATATATATATGCATATCATTATGTATATATATATATCTATATATAAATATCATTGTATGTATATATATCTGTATATATATCATTATATGCAAATCCATATGCATATATATCCATAGATATATCCATATGTATATCTATATAGATATGCATACATATATCTATACATATATCTATATATATATCTATATATATATCTATATATATATCTATACATATATCTATATATATATCTATACATATATCTATATATATATATATCTATACATATATCTATATATATATCATATTATTATATTATTATACATATAAATTTATATATGTATATATATATACATATCACCACATATGTATCTACACATATATATCATTGTATATGCCTGTGTGTAAATATATATTTATATATATATCTATACACATATATCATTATATACACATCTATATATATACCATTATATACATATCTATATATATATCATTTATATAAATCTATATATATATAATATTATATATATATACATAAATATATATCATTATATATATATCTATATATATGTCATTATATATATATCCATATATATATTATTATATATATATCTCTATATATATCATTATACGTATACCTATATATATATCAATATATATACATCCATATATATATTATTATATATGTATCTATATATATATCATTGTATTTATATATCCATATATATATATCATTATATAAATATATCAATATATATATCATTATATAGATATATATATAAATATCATTATATATATATCTATATATATTTCATTATATATATATCCATATATATATTGTTATATATAAATCTATATATATATCATTATATATCATTATATATATATATATATATATATATATTGTTATATATTATATCTATATTATATATGTCTGTGTCTGTATATAATCATATATATATAGCTATATATATCATTATACATATATCTATATTTATGTATTGAAAATATTTATTTAATTAGAAAGAATTATAAAATATATATACATTAAGACCGAAAAGCTTTCGGAAATTCTCATTTAAAATTCGCGCGCTGTATATTTTCCGATATTTTAAGTTTATGTAGTTTGGCAGCACTGTCCTTAATTACTATGCCAAAAATGAGCGCGATCTGTCAGACAGTTCGTTTACGGCAGCTGTTGAAACCAGTTCACCTCAGTAGGGCGTTGCGAAAAAAACAATGGAAAAAAATATTGAACAAAGAGTTTGCATCAAATTTTGTGTTTCGAACGAAATTTCGTGTGCAGAATCGTTGCGAATGCTACAAAAGGCTTATGGGGAATCAGTTTTATCGAAAACTCAAGTTTATGAGTGGTACAAAGCCTTCCAGGACGGTCGTACGACCGTCGAAGACATTTCGCAACGCACTACTGAGGTGAACTGGTTTCAACAGCTGCCGTAAACGAACTGTCTGACAGATCGAGCTCATTTTTGGCATAGTAATTAAGGACAGTGCTGCCAAACTACATAAACTTAAAATATCGAAAAATATACAGCGCGCGAATTTTAAATGAGAATTTCCGAAAACTTTTCAGTCTTAATGTAAGTACATTAAACATATAAAATATTTAAATGTTTTTTTATTTATTTATTATATATTTCCAATATAGCTAAACTCAATCATTTCTACCTTAAATATATATAAATATTTAGATAATAAATATATAAAATGTGTTTAAATATATATATAAAATATTTATTTAATTAAAAAAGATAAATTTATTATATATTATAATATATAACTGTACTGTCAGACTTGTAACTTAACTTGACTTAATAAAGTAACCTCATAAAATAAAGACAAGTACTTAAAATATTTATTTTCATTAAAAATTAAATTTATTTTATACTTCTCTTCTATTTACTTAAAAAAATAACTGTCAGAATTAAAAATAAAATTAAAAATAAATGTAAAAGTTAAGAGAAAGAGAAAATTAAGAGAAAAGATGTTTATTTTAAATAAAAATAAGAGGAAATTTAAAATAAAAACTTTTGATGCACATCAATTAATTATTATTTACTTACTAAATTAATTTAAATTAATAATAAGATATCTAATAAACTTTTTATTTGGGGATATAAGAGAATAATAATTTTATTGAATTTTTTGGTTTAGATCAAATTGTATCTCTGGAAATATATTCATTATTTATTTATTATTTAGTTATTTTTTTTAAAGTTGTACAATTTTATCCAATAATGTATGTCCTATAAAGCACTATTTTTTTATAGCAAAATGTTTTCAAGCGTTATACATGAATAATCGACTACATATATAGTAGTTCAGTTTCCAATGCTTTTTATTGTTGAACTAAATCAACCTTATTAATAAATTGTAAATAAACAGCAAAAAAAAATTTAAATAAATTAAATTTATTTTATAAATATTCTTCAAAAAAGAAACAATTTTATAATTATTTTTTATTTTGTTTTATTATTGAATTAAATGTTGTTCTTAATAATAACTGACAATAATCCCAAAACTCTTATCTCAACAGAAACAAATTATTATTATTATAAATAATAAGAATTATTTATTTTTCATAAATAATTATTTCAAAAAAATATTTATTGTTTAATAAAAACTTTTATTAAATAATTACTATTTTAATATTATGCTATTAATATTTACTGTCAAACAAAATATTAAATATTCAAATTACAAATTTTTTTTTATGACAAAATTTTTAACTTTTATTTACTTAAATATACTTACATATACTGTACCTAGATTTTAAAATAAATATCATTTAAACAAATAAAAAAAATTTATTATTTTATTATTTTATATATTTTATAATATTTTTAACATTACATAGCAAAAGTACTTCTCTAATTTTTTACAAAAGAAACATTTATAAACTATTTTCTCTATAAATTAAATACATATATATTTCATTGTTTTCAAAATTGAATATAATGAACCAAACATTTCCAAATGACTATATACATTCTTTATAAAAAAAAATTATTCATGTAGTTATATCTTTTTATTGTAATATTTTATGCTTAAAATGACAAATTATTTAATCCTATGAAATTTTATACAAAATACATATTTTAATCAATAATATTAATAAAGTTGTTCCATGTTAAAAAAATATATATATATTTTTTTTTTGTCATTTCAAAGAAGTAGTATCAAGGTAAGTAGTATTTTAACTAGTATTTTTTTTTAAGAAAAATTAAATGCTTAAATGTACTTAAATTTAAAGCTGCTTAAAATTATTATAAGTATCTGTATTAAATAATTAGAAACATATTTTTATGTGACACAAAAATTATTTACATACTTACAGTATGTAATGAATTCATAATGAATCAAGAGTGATAAAGTAGAATTATCTGAGTTCTTTGTAGTAAAAATTTTACTTGATTTAATTATACTTGTTCAATTACTTAGTTCAAGTAAGCTACATACATATAAAAGTACCAGAGTTGAATCGAGTTATGACTAAATTTATGTATGTATATATATACATACATGTATATATATATATATACAAATATTTTTATACACATGTATATATATATATATACAAATATTTTTATACACATGTATATATATATATATATATATACAAATATTTTTATACACATGTATATATATATATATACAAATATTTTTATACACATGTATATATATATATATACAAATATTTTTATACACATGTATAAAAAGTGAACAAACGAATCTAGTACCTTCAAGCGACTTTCATTGTAATTTACAACAATTATCAGGTTTGATAAGCTCTAATTTTTTTAGCTTAACTTAGAAGACTGGAGAGAGAGAGAGAGAAATGTAGCAGAATGGTTCTTATAGGTCAGAGTAGATCCAGAAGAAACACTTAAGAATTGCAAACAAAAACAATAAGCAATTTAAATATATAGTATAGAGGTAGTTATGGTTTTGTGCTCCTAAAAGAAACTACCCAAATTATTGCAAGTTGATATAGAAGTTCCTATATAATTTATATTTGTGCTTTTAAATTTTTTTTATAATTAATAATTATTATCAACCTTTTAATTTCTTATTATGAGCTTATTTTAATCTTTTAATTATTATTATAGGATAAGCTTTGCATGCACTGCGACCTATAAGATCTTTTCTGCAGATTTTTTAATTAGTTATTGAATTATAATTATACTTTAATAATTTATTACTATAAGTTATTTATTAAATAATAATTATACTTTAATAATGTATCACTAAATTTTAACTTACTGATTTGGAATAATAAATTAATTGTAGCTATTAATTCATTATAATAAATTACAGATTCAGACTTTAAGTCATTAAATTAAAAATACAAACAATAATTAATAAACAAAAAACACTAAGTAATTTAAATATTATTAAATTAAAAATAAAAATAATTTATTCATTAAATAGTAATTTAGTTATTTTTTAATTTTTATATGTACTTATAACTTAACGACCTGAATTTCAGGTTCAAATGAATTCATTAAATATTAAACTATTTCAATTTAATTAAACTAAATAATGAAGCTCATATTTTACTCTAACTACTATATCTATATATATTGTGAAGAGGTGTTTTTTATACATATTTCTATAAATAACTAACTTTAATAATTGGTGCCTAAGATCAATATATAAAGAGCTACAAATTAAATAATATAAAAAAAATACTTCCTTAGTTTTTATTGACTCAATTATTTTTTTAATAACAAATTTGACTTACAAACTCATTTAATTAGTAATAGTAATCAAAACCACTTAAATATTCTTATATCTAATCTAACCTTAAATCTATATGATCCAATTTTTAATGAATATAAATGCTGTACATCTGGTTTGGTTTGTCTTTACGTTTTTAATATACATAGAAAATTAAATTAAATTAAATAAACAAAAAAAAAAACAAAAAAACAAAACATTATTTGTAATTTTAACAAAACATTTGTCCAATATTAAAAAAAAAATTATTACAAAAATTAGAATAAAACATTAAAGTACAAAATTCAAATAGCGACAGGATGTTTACAACGTATATGGGTGTATGATACATAAAGTTAGAATGAGGCAAATTCTCATAAATATCTGCGGTATATCCTTTGCTGCTGTGGAGTTCTCAACGTTGAATCACCATAAACTGGTGAATCATTTCCAGGCGATAAATTGGGGCTACCCAAGCGTGGGTCTGAAATAAGCAAAAGTAACAAATAAAGTAAAAATTTTTAAACGAAAATATTTAAAAATTTAAATAAAAATAAGCAAGAATTGGCGGCGATAGAAATGTGTTAATCAATTGTAGAGATAAACTTTCTCTAGAAAGTTAAAATATGTAATAGAATACAAAAAAAAAAAAAATTGCAATAATAAAATACAAATAACTGAAGTTACGAGTTGCCCTCGCATATTTGGCATTTGTTTAATTACTTCAAATATTTGCAATATTTTAAAATAATTTCTTTCTGAAAACTTTTGTTACAAAACTTGTTCGCAAAAAGCAAATATTAAGAAATATATATATGTCTATACATATATATATTGCTAAAATAAAAAAAAAAAAAATAAGTTTAATAAAAATTAAATGCCAAACGAACGAAAAGTAGAAAAATTAAAAATATTTAAATTCTGTGCACTTACCATAATAGGGCGATAAATTTGGATAAAGCGTCGGGCTTCTGGGTGCTGGATTTTCCTTTTCATCAGATGTATCTGCATCCTTTTTAGTACTGGCAAAAGCTGCAAAAAGGGAAGCAAACGTAACAAATTAATAATGTACAAAGTTTAATTAAAGAACTTTTTAATTGATTTCAGCATAATTTTGTTGCAATTTTTATTAATAAAAAAAAAGAAAACTTTCATATTCCTTATGTTCTTTTCGAAGAAAAGCAACGTTAAGATTTTATCGAAAAGGTCACCATAAAAAATGAATAAATGAAACGACAAAAAAATTTACTACTTGCAATTATATGACTCTGTTAAGTAAATCTCTTATAAAATAAGCATTCGAAACAATCCCTTTTAATTTATTTAAAATTAATTAATACAACAAAAAAAATTTAGTATACAATTCAACAACATATTACAAACATAGAGTAAAAAAGGTAGCATGAACACCATCAACTAACTTTAACCCTCTAATGCCCAACCCCGCTTCAAGATAGGCTTTCTATAAACGACTATCAAAAACTTATTTGATCACGTTTTTAATATTTTTTTAATGTCAGGACCTAGATAAAGGGTCATATCTCTTTGAAATATTCAAAATATTGTGATACTCTGCTCCTAATCATATTTATAACTGTGTGAACTAAAAATTCACTGTAGTTTGAGCAAAATAAATATTTTTGCAAATAAAAAATCTGGCATTATAGGGTTAATTAAATAATAGCAATTTCACTAGGAACTTTAGAACTTAGTTTTTTTTTTAAGAAGAAATCTAATTTTTGATTTAGCAACAGAACATTAATCCATTAAAAACATCATTATTTTAAAGTTCATATATGTAACTAATAAAAACAATTACAAAAGTAGCTAAAAAAATTATAAACAATTGTCATTGGAGAATCTCATTGGAGGAGATATTGCAAAACTAATACAAGGAACGTTCTTTATATTTTAATTTTTATCAAACAATACAGCAAGAACACCATACTGACACTATACTGAGTACATATGTATAGTAGTATATAAAGGATTTATTTAATTTTCATTGAATAAAAAATCAAAAAATCTTTCAAAATGTCTTAGCACTGTAAAGACACACTTAAGAGATTAAAATTGTTCCATCTAAAAAAATATTTATAAAGCCGAACACAATCAATATCAATGAAAAATAAAAGGATGTATCTGAACACAAAAAAAAAATTTTTAATATTTATTAATATTATTAATAAATAATATAATATTGGTATAATTCAATGGCAAAGTTTATAGCAATACTCAAATTCGTAAACAAGTTAATATGTTCAACCAAAAACGGATGCTGATCATATAAAAACGAGATAATTACTGAAACCAGACAGAACAATTGACCGCTTAAAACTTCAGATAAAATAAAATCAATCAAAGAATGAACACGATCGCCATCTGTAAGTGACAATAAGTAATTGTGGATGTCTAAAATCGATATTATTAGATACTCTGGGGTATATGCGTGATAAACAGGTCAGTCAATTGAACTACACAAACTATATACAATATAATATATACAATATAATATATACAATATAATATATACAATATAATATATACAATATAATATATACAATATAATATATACAATATAATATATACAATATAATATATACAATATACTACAATATAACTACACAAAAATATTTAATATAATAAATACTCATTATAACAAAGGGATGATCGCATTCACTTTGCGAATATTAACAGCTTTCGTCTTCTTCTCCGCTAATTTCAGATTTGTATATAATCTAAATCTGTATTGTATAATAATCTTAGTCTCTTCTTCTCTATAGCTTTCGTTAGCATCAGTATTTTAATTTTAATATGTCATCATGTACTATACAGCATTTAAACGGTTGTAGCTTCTCAAGCATTAGAGCAAAGTCGTCTGCACATTAAATTAATTTGGTATTTGTCGGTAGATTAATTTTTAATATTCCGTTTAATGCATGGCATTCTATAGTAGTGGTTCAAGCACTAATTTTTGAGGGGCGACTAATCCTTGCACAACTTTATACTATCTAATTATATCTTCGGAGTAATTGATATAATTAATCTCGTTTGATATAATTTTCAAACGTACCTTTCCCAACTAATTAACGATTGAACTGGTTGCCTGTATGACTTGAAGGAAAGATTCAATCTTTACCGTTATTAAAGCATGTGATAAATGTCTTAGTAAAGTTGTCAGGGTCTACATGCTTCATGTATAAAAATAATGTATAGATAGGACCGAATAAGATAATTTATGATTATCCTTTGTAAATAATAACAACGGGTCATTATTTGAGCATAAATGGGTTTTGGACACAAGGCCACCACTCCAACCTAACGTAACCTTGTAAATAATCTGAATTTCTCAATTAGAAGAGGGTTTCCATGATCTTTCATCAGTTGGTTACATTACAGACATTTCGTATGCAGAAATTTGCACCCTATATAATCGCTTTTCGTTTCGTCTTCAACTTTTTTCTGTTCGTAACTTTTTGAGCTATATGCATGACAAAAACAATATAATCTGTGTTTAACCCTTGTAGTCCCCAATTAAGTTTAAGTTTCTTAAAGTCGTTTGACGATCACGGATGTTTTCAAGGATTTTTTCCGACGAGTCCAATATACATAATGGTCAATATATATAGATGGCTGAACGTTGCCTTTAAACAGTTTTGCGAATATTTGAAATATTCCATAAAGCTGTTAGTGTTCATATATTATATATAAAAATATATATGTGCACATATTAATTCAATTACCTTTTTAACCATCACAAAAGTGGTTAAACATTTAAATTGAAAAAACAAAACCTATACTAAAAGTGTTATAAAAAAGCGATTTTAATCTGCGGAATAATAACACATGCTAAAGTAAGCATTTAAAAAATAAAATCTACCAACACAATAATGTATACTGAAAAAAATAGTTCTCACCCTATTTAATGATACCTTATAATGCCAAAAAAAAAAAAAAATGAAATTGAAAAGAAAAAACTTTTTCGGCTTAAAATTATCTTTCAATAAAAAAATAACTAAAAAACTTTACAGTCAACAAAGCTGACAGACTATTCGAAATCTTTAGAAAGTACGGGTGTAAAAAGTCACCGCCAAATTAATCGCCGTTTTTGTGTTTATTTAGTGCACAAACTTTTTTTCTGGATAGTACAAAACAGTCATTAGTGTTAAATTAAACAAACAACTTCAACAGGAATATTGCTATCACCAACGTCACCATAAGGAGCAGGCAGGAGGCAGTCAGGCAGGCAGTCAGTCAGGCAGGCAAGCAATAGCAGTAAATCGAGCAGCACACATAGGCAGCAGTAGGACCAGCAACTCATTTATCACAGTAGTTGCCACCATTTGCAATTGAGTGTACAACTACGAGCAGGACGTACCAAGATATTATGTTTTCCATTCAATTCGAACAAATTCTTTGAGGGTGTAGGTCCTGGTCCCGGTCCTTTGCACGTCGCCAGCAAGCTCAATGAGTCTTGGTTGCCGCCATGTTTCGCTTAAATTTCATTTCAATTAGTTTTTTGTGTGCTTCATTTCGTAAAATTTTACAGATTTAAACTAAATATTTTTTTTCTTTGGCAGAGCGCCGAGCACAACTGCTGTCATTAATGACACTGATACCACACTGAAAGCATACAGTAAATGCGCGCACAAGTGCTTCCATTAGCATAAAGTCTGTCACATTGCTGAATTCTGGCTGAATTCTGGCGTCATCCATCACACTCAATTGCTAGACAAGTTAAGATATCGCATAAGTGTTGGCGTGATGAGTTACTTAATTTGTGCGCTGGCTAATAGTGCAATAAACATTGAGTGTGGAACGATAGTTGCGGAATTGGTGAAATTTTGTTGAATTGATGGTGCAGTGGCAGGCATTGGGTTTGGTTACCTAAAAGGACACACACAGAGGATACGCATCAATTGTCACTTTGCCAAATCAGTGACGAATTGAAACAAGTGAGCTCATTTGAACCCATTTAGTATGGATTTGGTGTCGTTGCTGCAAATAATTATGTTAGTAAAGTTGTTGATTTAGAGATACTAACAGGAAAGCAATCTTTATACTCGTAATTCAACAGACTTTTGGCAATGATATTCTACAAACAAAAAAAAATTACAAAATCACTACGTGATAAGTTATGAAATTGTGTCTTTTGGCTGTTATGATTGGATTTAAAACTAAAGAATTGAATTATATGCAACATACAAACGTTATTTGTATACTAGTACAACTAGTACATATAGATTTGATTTCTTAGCTATCCACTATATATGAGACCACCTAAACTGTAAGTGCATAAGTGAAAAGACAATAAGATAAACAGTAGATGAATACCAAATATAAGTAAATAAAGTAAAATTATTTCATTTATACTTTAATCTAAAATAAAATAATCTAAAGATATGAATAAGGCTTTTAGCTCTCAACTAGTCATTGTCTTCAACTTCTTTGGATCCATGCGACTTTCACCTTTACTGAAAAACGCATTTACCGATGAAAACAACGCGTTTTGTAGTTGTAGAAGCCATTCAAATTACTTATACTGACATCCTACAGAATTATCAAAATTATCTTCAGAAGTAGAACCTTATTTTTTGTAAGTCCATATCAATTTTTATGCTTCCTCAACGCTACTATTTATGCAGTGAGATTTAGATGTAGTACCCATAAAGATATTAATATAAATGAAAACATAGTATAAAGACATATGTTTCTGGAAAATAAGTTGAACGATTATGTTCTATGCCTCTTCAACGGAGTGATGTTTAGATTTCTCAATTATGATTTCGGCATGAATCCGATTTCCCGGATCTTATGTCGCATTTTCTGATTCTTACCCATTGTTTGTGTAATTAATGTAAAAATTGAATAAGTTAGTTGCTGCTAGGATGGCAAGTGTAGCTTTTAAATAGTAAAATAATTTTATAAAATGTACAACTTTAAATTTCGATATTTAAAGCATAGAAGTTAATGAAAATAGTTGCCAGGACTTTAGGATTTTTCTTTAGGATAACATAAGATATAATAATTAGACTTATTTTTTTTCTTTTTATTTTAAAAATAAGAATAAATAAGAATTACACCGAGACTTTTCAGTAAGATTCATTTTTATTAATTCAAAAATTTTTTTTTCAACCCTAATCCTTGATAAACCTAACAATGTCTTATATTAAAATCCCAGATGTTTTTTAATTTAATGAAGGCAGTGCATAGGTAAATGGACTCATTGCTGAGTATTCGCAGAACATAAGCAAATAAGTAGTCGGTATCATCAAGTCATATTATACTTAAGGATTAGACTACCATCCCTTAAGAAAGGTGGAAGTTGACAGTAACGGTTTTAGTAAATAAACCAGTAAAATGTGGTATTTAATACAAACATGTCCTACTAAGACTTTAGCGGGATGGGGTGAACATACAAGGTAAAGTGTCTGATTGCATTTAACATGGTAAATGCCAGCGCGATCCTTGTCACTGTTCTCTCCAAGTTAATACACAGCCTTCACGTGGCCCGCTCTAGATAGCTACAATCATCCGTGCGCAGTAAACTAATAAGTCATGCGTCGGGCTTGGAACCTGCCATTTTAAATTCTTTTCAATGCAAACGAAGAGGCAACCTCGACGTCCGCATCTTCAGTGGAAGGACCAGGTAACCAACGATTTGGGGGCGTTCAGTACTACCAACTGGCGACAGCAAGTTACTAATCCGCTACTAATCAGCGGAGGCTACTCGACGCAGCCAAGGACTACTCACGTCTGTAATGACAAACTAAGTAAGTAAGTGTCCTACTAAAAACCCTGTGATTAATTTAAGTTCATATCTATATGGACTTCGAATTAATCCTTCTTTTATTTTTTCCTCGAATTTACTTGTTCATGTACTACCTTTGTAAGCAATAGATATCAGATGAAGTCTGGCAAGTGCATAACGCGGAAAATGTTCGGGTCCTATTGAGAGAATTATTGTAACCCCTTCTGCAAAATTTATATCTATCCCGCGACGAGTTTTAAATAATAGCCTACTCATATATTGTAATATAAGGCACTAATTTTATGAATGATAAGATCACATGTTATACAAATAACTAATTTTATGTTTTTTTTTTCAAACTACGATTAAACAATGCGCCGCGGTTAATGTTGTGTGTTAAGTAATAAGAGTTTACACCTATTAAGTTTTGATTTTTTTTATTTATCTCACTCACTCCTCTCTAACAGAACTGAGGTAAATTCATTAGTGCGCGCCACCTTAATTTAAACTTTCCGCCTTGTTGGCAAAGAACGCCAAGTTTAGCGACGGATTTGATATTAATTACGAAGTGACATTTTGGCTGCAGGAATTCGCGCTAACAACAGTTCAAGTTGTTCAGGTTAAAGTTGAATACGGTTAAACAGGACAACAGAAAGTGGATACACCACAAGACACTTTTTACATTTAGTTTAAGTTTAAAAGCATGTCTGCTAAGTTCCATGAAACGTTTGAAATATTTAATGAACTACAAGTTGTCTAGATAATAAGCATGCCAAATGTAAATCTATGTAAATAAAGCTGAAGTAGATTTAATTATTTTTTTTTTGTGTTTCTACTTCGTTTTAAATTTAATCTGATAAGTATACACAAATCCTAATATAAAGAAATATTTAAAAGGAATCGCGCACGCAATATGTTAATCAATTAGAGCGTGCAATTTAACGGATTTAATTTACAGAAATTTTAATTTAATTTCAAATTCTGCAATTCTCTCAAATAAAAACACAAAAAGAAATATCCTTTAACAAACAAAAAAAAATTTAATAAAAATAAATAAATAAATGCAGGCAATCTTGCTTATCATGTGCAATTTTGCCATATCACTTCCATGATTAAAACTAAGTTTCCGGTGGCAAACTTGAAACTTTTAAGTTTTATTTAAAAAAAAAAGCAAAAAGAAAATAAAATAGCAAGGAAAATACCCAAGCAGGCAATCATCGATTACTTCTCTGCGTTTTGTGTGTTTAAGGTTGCCACATAAACCAAGGATATGTGGCCCATAGTTCAACTAAAGGTTAAAAGTATGAGGTGCAGGGGCGAACGCAAGCTTGCAAGCAAAAAATCCTAACATGCAACTACTAAGCAAACAAACACACTTGATATGGAAATCATTAATTAAACTTACCTTCAGAGTTGATCTTCACTTTACCCTGGGCGCCACAGGAAAAGTACACTGCAAAAAAAAGGATAATAAAAAATTGGTTATTGATAAGAGTTTAAATATTTGTGCACGTGAGCATAAAAATGAGAAATACTTTTATATATTAATTTTTTTTATTTAAAAAAGCTCATTGCAATATAATTATTAAAACATCGGGACGATTGCAATATCCTGAACGCCGTAGACCAACGACAAATCTCGATTAAGCCGACAATATGATACATAAATATATATATCGTTATAACTGACGTATTTCCTGAAAAATTGGAATCGATTTGCAATTTTTCAACCAAAAAAAATTAGAATCGCTATCTAGTGACTCTAAGAGTTAAATTAGTCTAATTTGGATAACAGTTAATATTCAAATTATTTAATATTAATAACAATAATATAAAATTGAAACTGAGTACCCATTATCAGTTTCTATAACTTCTAAATTAAGAGTTTGGAAATCCAGAAAAAAAAATGGGTTATTCCGCCAAACTCAGGAGTTTATAAACTTTTTATGTGGAATATCTTAATCCTACCACACCTGAACTATTGCACAAAAAAAATGTTTAATCGTCTCATTTGACTTCGTCCTTGTAGGTTCTACATCACAGGTTGAACCCGATACCCAATTTTTTAATCAACATCTCCACAAATTTTGATCTTGGTTCTATCCAGTAAGATTTTTATTCTTAATAAATTACAACTTGACCATCTTATCATAGATTTCTAGCAACTTCTCGTAGTTTTCTGGTTATATCCAGTACTTTTATCATATTAGCTTGGATTTTATATCGTAATTACTGTTAGCTAGCAACTTAGTGTAGTTTTCTATTTATGTCTAGTATTTATTACTTTGCAACTTAGTGTAGTTTTCTATTTATGTCTAGTATTTATTACTTTGGCATGTTAACTTAGATTTCTAATAACATATCATAGTTTTCTATTTATGTCTATATTTATTCATTTGGTTTATTAGCACTTTAATTCCCTTGTATTTAGTGGCCAAATCCAGATCATGACCAATGATCAGTGTACCAATGTACACTGGTTAATTATTGACATCAATTGAGTTTGCTAGCTTTAATTTTTTTATTATAATTGCACAGTTCAAGAATAGCAAATCTATTATGGGAAAAAATTGTATTCTGATTTTGTAGATTTTTCAAATCAACCTGAAAAAGCTGACAAAATGAAAGGGTTTTCTTTTAAGCTAAAAAGATTACTATGCCCCCTACACATTGCATCTTCAAAACGTTGATAAAGATATGATAATTAACTGTGTTAAATCCTTTTTTCATTCGCTTCTCGATTTAAAAATTGTATAAAAAGATTTTTAAAACTCATTATCGGGAAATAGATTATAGTTATAGGTTATAATAACCATAAACAGGTTATTAGATAGGTAGAACCAAAAGAATGTAGCTATGCCCTTTCAATTTTGTTTTCCAGTACACACTCTTTTGCAGTTTATATTGGAATGAAACCCTTCAAAATGAAGGGCACTAATTTCTTCTAACCAGTCTTGTTTGGAAATCATTTTGGGAATATAGGGTTTTAAATAGAACAGTCAGGATATAGTTATGTCCTTTCGGTCTGGTTTTTCAACATCAACCCTCTTGCAGTTTATATTAAAATAATAGGCGTATAACTGCAGTATATGTACATGTAAAAATAATTTTAGAATGCAGCTTCAAATTTCTTTTAAAAATTGTTAGAAAACACTAGGGTAATCTAAATATATATATTAGAGTATTAGGCGTATAAGTGCAGTATATATACATAGTTTCTTCTTCTAACAATTCTTAAAAGAAACTGGGGTATTTTAAAAGTATGCTCACACTTATGAGCATATATAGCTTATAGAAGTAGAAAACCAAATATGCTTTTCTCACCAGAGTAATGATAGATTGCTTGCCTGCAAAGCTAGAAAGCTTAGAATCTAGAGTAACACAGATATCTTGCCTGAGTAATAGGTTACATGTGTTATGCTGTGTTACTACAAAGAAATGTATATTATTTTTTGTAGTATATATAATAATAGCTCAATTTTCTCAGAGTTTGTTGTCAGATCACAACTTGTAGTGAATCCAGTGTTGGATTCACCATCTGTCTATAATGCTACCTTCCAATTCACTTTATGTTAAATGACTTTTATGTCTTAAAAGTTAATGTTATAGTTCTTATTTTGTTATTTAATTTGCTGGGTGCTCCATCTTTCTATAATTTTAGATTCAAATTCACTTTATGTTAAATGACTTTTATGTCTTGAAAGTTAATGTTATAGTTTTTATTTTGTTATTTAATATAGATGGTATGCTATGATTTACACACGCTTACCCGTTATTCTAACTTCCTACAAGAAAATACTAGCTATTAACCATTTATGTTATTTTATTTAGAGATTTTATTTTGAAATGTTTTATAAACTTTGCATTTAAAGGAATAAAGTTACTAAAAAAAAACTAAAAAAGAAAAATCACAAGAAAACTGAAGTTGTTATCAGTTCAGATACTGTAGACATCGACAACAAGAAGTTAAAAAAAAATCCAAGAAAATTCTTAGAATTTCAACGAAGAAGAAGAACTCCAAAAAGTTTCTACACTGCTAAGTCAACATAACACCTAAAACATTGCGAAGGAGCATAAATTGCAAGGAGTAAGGATAATTTTTTCTGCTTTTTGTTCAAAAGGAAAACATAAACATTGCGTTTCTTGTGGCTTTGGCAATGTTGTTTCTCTTCCCAACCAAATGCGGTCCTGATAATAAGCATAAATGGTTAACTAAAGACCATTTTCCACGTAACCGCATTTACTATTTTCGAAATGTGAAAATATAATAAAATTCAGAAAAAATAAATTAATTAAATAACGAATTGAGGCGGCTAGGCTAGGCTGGTAGCCATTAAAAATGTGGTATTGCTACTTTACTATGATTTTAAATTTCTTGCTAACTGCTTAAGGTGAACTTAGCCGATAAGCCCATATCGCCAGAAAAAAAATCCAAAAAAAAAGAGAAAAAAAATATTGTGTACAAATGCCAAAAACAAAAGCAAACGAACCGAAAACTGACAAAGGTCAGATTAAAACAGTTGCAGGAAATAAGGTATCCACTCACAGATTTCACAACCGCAGTAAACAGTAGGAATTGTGTGCCGAATGCAAAATAAAGCCACAGGATAAGAAAATTTAGGTACAGACCGAAATAGGTTTAAAATGGTGTACACGAAGAAGTACATTTTGGTTAGCGAAAACTGAAAATTATTATAAATGGCAAGGCTAAAAAATGTTCGGAGTGTTTGGTTTGGATTTTGGTTGGCGATAAAGAACAGAAATTATGGTTTTCTTTCTGTGTTTGCTTAAGTCAAGTCGAAGCAGATGAAAAAAACGGACACTTCTAAATATAACCGACGAGAAATAATATTTATATGGATAAAAAACTGACATTTGCTAGAACGTAGTGCAAAAGTTAAGGTAACAGGACTACTAAATTTATAAAGTTGCAGCTATTTTAGGACTCTTGACACTAATGAACGAAATTATGTACTTAAGAAATGGGAAAATTATAAAATAAAATAGTAAAAAATGGTATATTTAAAAATATAAAAGTATAAACATGTGGTAAACCACGAAGAAGAGGAATGTAGATGATCCACAATATTTAAAGGTCATGTAATTAATAAATTAAAAGCGTAAGAAGGGGAAGTACTATTTCACTGATTATCAGAGTCAAGTTTACATTATTAAGCTTATAAGCAGATGAATTTTTCACTGATTATAAAAGGTATTTAGGATACAAAAGTATAGGTAAAAATAAGATGATTGTATTTTTGCGTGTATGCGTCAAGTTGTATTTTTTTAATACCCCTCACTTACTTCTTACTTCAAACAATAAAAAGATATCTATTAAAATTAAAACCAAAAATAACATTGAATTCACGCTACATAACAAAATCGAGCAGGTCGAAAACTCAAGGTATAGTCCTAAAAACAAATGGAAAAAATATTGCAAAAGGAAATCGCAGAGTCCGGAAAAATGTGAAACGAGCTGAAGATTTTGAGGCCCTATGCTTCAGTCGGAAATACAGAAACTGATGATGATGACTTCATACAAAGAGAAAAATCGAAGAGTCCGGAAAAACGTGAAACGAGCTGAAGATTTTGAGGCCCTACGCTTCAGTCGGAAACACAGGACCTGATGATGATGACTTCAAACAAAGAGAAAAATCAAGCTACAATTAAAGTATTCTTGCAGAAATATGTAGAAGATCCATAGTATTTAAAATTCATAAAGTTATTAAGTTAAAAATTTAAGTTGAGAGAGGAGCTATTTATTTTATAGGATCGGTATATTCATAAAAATGAAGTACTTTTTCCTTTTTGGATTTTCACCCATTTTAGAATATTTGGTAAAAACAATTTAAAGTTGAAAAATTGAGGTTTTAAATGGTAAATAAATTTTTTTTATTTCAAGTAATACGAATTGGATTCCGGATTCACAGATTTAAGCTTATTGGGATAGTCGGTTTTTAAGTATTTTTAAAAGATTTATATATTGTTTATCAGACAGAAATAGTAACAATCGAAAAAAGTTTTTACTCAAGCAGACACGTAATAACCAAAGCAACAATATATATATGTACATATATACTCGGATACATTCGGTGTTAAGATCAAAGATTACTTGGCAGTTGTTAGCGATATCAATACCGATTTCAGTATATATTATATAGGTCCAGATATTCAAGGAAATTGCAGATTCGTTGAACTTACTAAACGGGATGCTTATCTCTTCATTGGAGTGGATAAAAACGGAACCAAAATACCCATTGCCACTTGTAAATTAATATTGAAGAACATTGTCATTTAAAAGACACTTATCTAATCCACAAGAACCACAACTTCATATGCAAAAATGGATGATTTACTCAGTTTATCAAAAGAGAACATACCCAAGAGCGTGGGTTGTATAACTGATCACTGGCTATTTGGCAAATCAGCACTCATCAAATCATAAAATTCTTTTTGAAAAATATTATGAAATCCTTTTTGTAGCTATCTAGCTCTGGCCAGAAGCAAAACGAACAATTATGACTTCAACTCTCTTGAAAAAGTGTTTTGAGCTTTAATGAGGCTCAACAAAATGAAATGACTAACAAATAGTTAAGTTTTCGTTGAGATAGTGGTATTGCAATGGACATTAAGATCTACATGAGCTGCTCAATTAAAGTGGCTGCCATAGTAATCTAACCTAACATAAACACATACTTTAGAGATATAAATTATATATAAACGCTTGAATGCAAAATTTTTGGTTCGCGATTTGGCAATTGTTATAATTTAAAAAGTCAGTTTAGTTAGTTAGTTAATTAGTTAGTTAAGATACTAACCAATTCTTTACTATTTTAATGTCGATACTAAGATACTAATATATCGATACTAAATTACTAATGTCGTTATATTGCAAACGGTAGCTATACCAAAGGAAAGGCCAAAAGAATGTACTTTGTAGTAGATTTATCTATTTAAGTAAATAAACATTATTTTGCTGGCAATGTATCTTTAAATACTTCAGTTGACATTTGATACTACTTTACATTTGATTTTGTTTTTAATAATGCTAGTTAAGTAAAAGTAAACCACATGACGTAAAGGTCTAGCAGTAAGTAATAATTTTTTACTAAATACATATTTTGATGATATATAAATGTATTTTTATCAGCTTTTCAAGTAGTCTAAAAGTATAAAATATTATGTTTAACAATGTAACTTTTAGGTTCTAATTTTACACTTTATAAGTAAAATTTACTTTATCTCAAAGCTATGAACTTTTAGTTAATAAGATTTAAGAATTCACACAACAATTTCTTTTTCTTCGTTTGTCCTTTTCTCTCAATGGAACATCTAACTATAGTTTAAATCAGCTTCACGAAAGAAACCCAAATAGCTTATAAATTGTATTATTTATTTGCATTGCTCTACTAATCGAGATATATATTTTAAATGTAAAGGTTATTTATTTCAATGGTGCATGTTTAAAGCAATCTAACATCGCTTAGTTACCCTAAATATTTTAAGTTATATCACTTGTGATAAATACAATATATTTCAGAGGAAACCTTAAAGTGTATATAAGTAGTGCCATAGAAAACTGAAATCACCTTAAGGCTATTTAAAACAATTTCAAAGACCCACAATTTCATTTATTTCTCACCACACAAATTAGGACCACTGTGAATAGACGAGATGGCAGCTCGTAAAATTGCAATCTATGTGGTTTACTTCAACTGATTGGATATCTTAAAACTTTATTAAATTTATAAGCAATATTCCCAAAAACAAAAATTATAATAGTTTTGTTGGCAACAAGTTTTTCTAAACTTACCCCATAGTGTTGTAGCCAATATCATTAAACCTGTGATTATAAGTCCAATATTTGATAAAATATTTAGAAACATGGAGTAAATATTGTCGAATGGTTGAGTTGAACACTTTGGTGCCAATGTATTTGCTCCTAGTATGGGTATCTGCAAAAAGTGTAATAAATTTATAATTTCAAATAAATATATATTAAATATTAATAAATATATTTTAAAGTTCAATATAAAAAAAAAATTAATTTTTAAAAAACGCATTTTAATGTCAAAAAGTCATAAATACTTTTCAGTATTTTTAAATTAATTATAATAAAAATGACAGCATCCACTAACTTCGCAATACGAATATAAAATACGTCCTTTCAGTAAAGTTGTTGAGATTTGAGAAATATTAAAATTCATATAAAATAATATGAAATATAAAATGAAGGTACGGTGGTATATAATTAAAATTTTAGTAAACTTTTTTAAAATTCAAAAAGTTTATTATTTCAAAGTTCATAACTGTCACGTCGACCTATTAAGCATGATAAACGTTCTACCACAGGTGAAATATGGTAGTTTGAACTGTCAGTCGAGAGTGCAAAAAAATTAAAAAAATATATATAAAAAAAAAACGAATTAAACATTTTTTGTGCTGATAGTAAAAATGAAGTTGAAGTTTGTCCTTTTTTTTTGTTGTGCTTTTGTTTCTTCATTTTATATTTTTTAAGTCCAACTTAAAATGTATGTCATCGATTAAATAAACTTTGTGTTGTGTCATGCAACTACTAGCGTATCGTTGTATTTTTCCACTTAATCCAATAGTTTCGTATGCCAACGCCATCCATGAAGCGCGAGCCTGAACCTTTCAGGAAAGTGTTACGCTTGCCAATATGCAATTTTAAATTACTCGCTTTCGTATATTTACGGCGGCTTTATTTGTCGAAAAGTCTGTAATTTCACTTGAACCAAAAGAAAAAAACAAAAACCAAACACAACAACAACAATAACATTTAGTGGTCTCATTGCAGATTCCACTCGACCAGTCCCAATTTGACCCTTTATTGGAGTTGAAATCTTACGGCATCCAGCGTGAAAATTATTACACAAGTATTGCTATTGCGCCAGTTTATCTTATTTTTTCAGATAATATAAGCATTATCAGATAGCAGCAAATATTTTTAAAATAAAATAAAACAAAATAAAAAAGTGTTGGAAAATGTTGTGATTTTTGGTAACTGAACTGAAGGACAACTTTACAACTTTGTTTTCAGAAAGGATTAAAGTTTATTTCCTGATAAAATATGAGCTTGGAAAAATAGCAGATAACTTTAAGCTTTTGACGATTTGTTGGAGCGAATTTAGAATTGTTAAGTTATATTTAGATATTGTTACAACGTGAAAAAAATCACTATAGTCATAAGAAAAGGGATTTATTTAAAGGAATTAACATTTTAGAAAATATATTATTTCCGAAAATAGATCATTAAAAAGATTAATTATTCTTATTCTTCATAACTGGTAAAACAATTGTATAAACTAAAACAAAAACTACTATAAAATATTATAAAACCTAACCATACATATTAACAATTGCATTATCCATCTACGGGACCAATTTGTAATCCCTTACAACATAAAATACAAAACCGTCAAAAAGAAACTGGGCGGAACAAAGTTCATATTAGAACTAAAATACTATTAATTTAAGTGGTTCAGTTATATATCAATAATGCCACAGTCGAGAATTCTTAAGAATCCTGGAAGCAAAGCAAATCTGTTAGACGTCCAAAACTAATATTTAAAGCTTCACACCCAGTGACAACAAATAGTTTTTTAATTGCTTTTTTTAATATTTTTTTTAATCATTTAAAAATTATTTTCGAATAATTAAATACAAGAACTATTTCCAAGATCATTAACGATGGAAATTTGGCAATACTCGAAACAGCTGTATGGTCAGGTCAGGTCACCCAAAAATTCAATTAATTAAAATAATATAAGTTGAATTTTGTTTTTGTAGTAATTATTTTTATTTATTTTTTTTTTATATTTATTTTTTTTATATTTAATTTTTTATATTTATTTTTTTTATATTTATTTTTTTTATATTTATTTTTTTTTATATTTATTTTTTTTTTTTTTTGAGAAGTTTGGAACAATAGTAAGCTACAATAACAAAAATGGTTTTTATAATATTTTAATTAATCAAATTTTTGGCTGACCATACAGCTGTTTCGAGTATTGTCAAATACACAGCATCAGTGGTCTTGGAAATAATTCTTGTATCTAATTATTCGTTAATAATTTTTTTGAGACTGCAAGTACCAGGGATTGAATTCATGCCCTGCTAAATTTGAAGGTCAGAGGCAGCACTCCTTAATAAACTAACCTAAAACCGTTCTTGACTTTTATGTTTGCACTTTTTTTTTAAAGTTTTGTTAATTTGCTGTGCAAGTTTTGTTCACTTGCTGTGTTTTTATTTAATTTTTATATTTTTAATTATTTTATTATTCTATTTTTTTATTTTTATTTCCTTTTTATTTATGCAATATTTTTTTATTATTTATATTTTATATATTTAATTAGTTTTTATTTTTTTTTTATTTATTTTTTATTTATTTAATTAGTTTTTATTTTTTTTAATTTTTATTTTTATTTTTTTAATTTTTATTTTTATTTTTTTAATTTTTATTTTTATTTTATTTACTTTTTATTTATTTTTTATTAATTCTTTATTCTTATTATTTACTTTTTATTTATTTTTTATTAATTCTTTATTTATTTTCATTTATTCTTTTTTTATTTTTTATTTATTCCTTATTTATTCTTTATTTATCTTTATTTATACCTTATTTATTCTTTGTTTAGTCCTTATTTATACTTTATTTATTCTTTATTTATTCCTTATTTATTTTTATTTGTTCTTTATTTATTCTTTATTTATTTTTATTTTTTCTTTATTTATTCTTTATTTATTCTTTATTTATTCCTTATTTATACTTTATTTATTATTTATTTATTTATGCATTTTTATTCCTTATTAATACTTTATTCTTTATTTATTCCTTATTTATTTTTTATTTATTCTTTATTTATTTATTCATTTTTATTCGTTTGATGTTTATGTAATTTTTGTTTGATGTTTGTTAGTTTTTTATTAAATTTTTGTTATGTTATTTTTTTTTAAATATTTTTTACTATATTTTATTTATATCATTTATATTATTTATTTTTTTTATATTATTTATATTATTTTCATACTATTTATATTATTTATTTTCTTTATTTTGTTAATTTGTCTATTTCATTTCTCTTATTTTTATTATTTGATTTATTTAATTTATTATAGTTATTTTATTTTATTTTAATTAATTATATTCAATATTTTTTCTTTTGATTTACTCTACATTTTTCAAATCTTACAATATTTTTCAAAAATATTTTAAAATTAAATTGCTGCAGTTTTGGATGCTGCAAAGTGGCACACATCATCGTACGTACGTTATGTGAGTAATCCTATTTCAACAGGACGAACATCATTAAACATGTAAACAAATAGATAAACAAATATTTGTGGAAATATTTAAGGTCGATATTATTTAATTTCTTCTATGGTTTTTTTTTTCATATTTAAGAATTTCATATAAAATGTGGTCGAATACCTCTGACATTTATTTATTCTCACATATTTTACTATCATTTTCATAATATTTAAATAACCCAATCAAGTTTATTTAAAGCAATAAATATTATTTTACTTCATTTCTTCAATTTTTCTCCTTCTACAAAGAGGATTCATTGCATATTCTACATTTTGAGCTCGTCTACAGATACTCTATTTAACCCTTTTTTGCTGTTAAACTAATTTTTCTCTTTAATGAATATTTTTGCAATGTTTCAGTATTGATTTATATTCTTCTTTTTAACATTTTTATTCCCTTTTTTTATTTTCTATTTTTTACAATTTAAGTTGATATTAATTTGACTTTCCGCCTACGGCCACTCATACTTCATGTTCACCTCAGTATCTTTTTTCTACTTATTTGAAGCTTTCAATTTTGTACAAAGTTTCGCCATTTCCAGCCATCTTTTTAGTGTTTTTACTTTACTTCATGTTTTAGTTTGAATACAGGAAGTTGCGATCAGTTTCGTATCCGAGTATGGAGTGAAGGTATGAGAAAACTGTTAAGTTTCTGCTTGTTTAGTTTATTTTGTTGTAGCAGTTACTTCAACACTTTTCTGCACGATAAAATGTGACTGCAGCAATTTTCAAACATAAACGAAACGACAACTTAAATGGATTGCACCACGCGCCCCGCCTTTCGCCCCGCCAACCGCTACGCCTGAAAGGAATGCTCTTTCGTGCTTCACACGTAACAGCAAAAATGGTGAACCAGCGTCAATATGCATGCCAACCATAGCACCGCCAACTCTCTGAGTCCTTGCTAATGCCATTACCAAGTTATCATAGTTGTTGTATTACTGGTGCCGTTGCCGTTGCTGTTATTGTCGCTGTTGCTGTTTCGGCGGAACAGCAACAAACCTTTCTCCGCAAGACAGTGAAATAATGCAACAACATAAATAACAACAAACAAACAAAAAACTAACAATAAACCAATTTAAATTGATTTTGATTTTAACTGAAAATTGTTCTGCGCTGTTGCAATTTTACAAGAAAAGTTTTTATTTCCTGTTATGCGTTCCTTAAACAAAGCAATTCCTCCATTTTTTTATTAAATTTTATTCATTTTATTTGTTGACTGGTAATTTGTCTTCAAATGGTGGCCTTAGAAATCAAACAAACAAATTAACAACACATCAACAAATAAACAAATTTAAAGAAAAACAATATATATATAACACCAATTTAGTTGAGATATTTCATTCTTACAAAATTTATACATAAAGACCATCCAAAGAAAACTCAACATTTCAGAAATAGGTATTTGCAGTGAGGTCATCTATTGGCAATTGCATGCATCAGTTAGGTCAATCACTTTCCATAACCTCACTTTTGTGACAAATCATTCTTTGGTTTTTCGATAAAATGCATTTGCTGAGAAAATCGAATGATTCCACTCTGATGTGCCATCAAAATTTCATTGCGTATAGATGAATAGATGAATTTTTGAAATAGGTATTTGCAGTGAGGCCATCTATTCGTAATTACATGCATCAGTTGGGTCTCTCACTCTCTATAATTTACCTTTGTGCCAAAGCGTCATTCGGCTTTTCGATAAAATGTATTTACTGATCTGATGGAATCGAATAATCCTACTCTGATGTAGCATCAAAATTCCATTGCATATAGATGAATAGATTAATTTTTGAAATAGGTATTTGCAGTGAGGTCATCTATTCGTAATTACAAGCATCAGTTAGGTCAATCACTTTCCATAACCTCACTTTTGTGCCAAAGCGTCCTTCGGCATTTCGATAAAATGCATTTACTGATTTAATGGAATCGAATGATCCCACTCTGATGTACCATCAAAATTCCATTGTGTATAGATGAATAGAAACGTAGGTTTTGCATGTTTCAGAACTTTGGGACAAACCTTTTCAATGGATTCTACGTCCACAAAAGGCTTCCATAGATAAATACGTTTTATCCATAAGTTGCAAATTTAAAAAATCATTAATAAAAGTCCTATAAAATGTGTGACAGTCTTTGAAAATGTGGACACAAGCTATTACGCGTCTTCTATGTCTACAAACAGTTTTTATTTTCATCTACAAATATACATCAAAGGAAGTAAATTCAAAAATTTGTTGAGAAATAAAATCAATCGCAAGTTACCCATGAAGTGACGGTCTTTTTAAATATTGGTTTAACCCTTTTAGAAGATGCAAATCACGCGGTACTAAATCAAGTGAATGCAATAAATGGTTGAGAATTAAGTTTCAAATTTACGCAGAAAAAAATCTGCCATAAGTATTTGAAGAAAGAACAGTCTTTTAGGGGGTATCGACGTGAATATATTAATATTTATTTTTATTGGCAAATGTCAAAAAGAATACAAATTTCAGCATTGCAAAAACATTCTAAAAATATCTTTAAAAATATAAGATGTCAAGATGGAACTTGGTACTTTCAAGAAAGAGAAAGAAAAAATCCTCTTCAGAACAGCAAAATCAATATAATGATAATTGTTTTATTTGACACAATGCGAATTGTTTACAGTGAATTCATCCTTAAAATTCAGACGATGAACGCAGAATATATGCCGCGAATTTCACAAAGATTGTGGGCTAATATTCGACTAGTTTGATCGGATATGTTCGATCATCATTATACATGAATTGTTGACAACATTCTTAACGACCATCCATATGATATTTGATAGCCTCCCGGTTATCAAAAATGATAAGGATAATATATTATCGTTATACAGGCTGGAATCTGAAATTACTTTCAGATTCCAGTCCATGTATATAAATCACATTTTTAAGAAATCAAGCATAAAGAAAAAGATATAAAAAAACAGATATAAAGAAAACAATATACTTTTTCTTGTACAAAGAAAAATTCACCTTCCAGGAGACTGATTCAATAGCGGGGGTATGTACTACCATATAGTATGGTATAGTATAGTAAAAATTTGCATAGTCATTCCTGCTATTTCTTTGCTAATAAATGCCAGTTTTCATTTAAATTAAAACAACTAATTTTACTGTTGACCTTAATATAAGACAATTCTATACAAGCTATTTTCAGTTAACATGTAGAATAAATAAATATTTATTATTATTTTTACTAATTTTTTTTTTTTTGTCATTTTTAACCACGTGAAATATACTTCCACGTGCTACATATTTTCAACATTTATTTAAGCTCAATGGACTGATATGTACAAATCTATCCAATTAGTGTAAATAAATTAAATAAGGAAACAAAATAAATAAAATCCTTCGTGTACAATGTATCAAAATGAAAACGGATTTTAGTTTTTTTTTTTTTGCATTACTAAGGATTTTTTTTGTCGTAACAGAAGTTTTTCCAAATCAATTTACAAAAACCTGCAAGCATTTTGACCCACATAACAAATGACGTCACAGCAGTCACTCTTATTAAATGCATGCACATACATGCACGTGTGTATTACATTTTTAAAGGATTTCTAGGATATTTTTAAATCTTAAATATTTTACGACAAATGTGTTGACATTGTTTTATGCCATTGATGAACTTTTCGTTATCAGTTGAAAACCAGCACCACCAGCATATGCAGAAGTGCCTGTCAGGAAAGTTATTTTTCGATAAAGGTTTAAAAATACAAATAAAAAAATAATATTTTATTACAAAATAATATAAATATGAGCAACCTTTGTTTTATTTCTGAACAGATATAACATTCTTAGAATTTTTAATAGCATTTTTTGTCACTTATATGCCTAAAAATCCATAACGTTTGGAAAAATTCAACACAGTAAAGTATTTCTGAGAGTCTACTAAATATGTGAGATTAGAAAATAAATTGAGATTGACCAACAGTAGAGGATTTTTTAGATTTAATTTTATAAAAAATTTTTATTATAAAATAATGCTTTTCACACAATTGTATTATTGAGTATTTACTTAAAAAATTTTATAAAACTATAACAAGCTTACATTCACAATACCTAAATAAGATTTCTTACAAGAAAAGTGACTTGTATCAGAAACAGCATTTTGTAGGAGAGATCATTATAGTATATCCTTATCAAATTCTAATTTCTAATAATAGCTCTAAATTGTTTTCGATTGTACCATTTAATATAACCATTTTTACTCAAAAGATAATGACATTTTTTGAAACTTCTAATAAAGGTTGACATGCTCTTTAAGATAAGATAGAGTTGTAAAACATTTTCTTCGCTTTTCGTAGCTTTGTCTTAGGTCATTAAAAAAATATTCAATTTTTTAGTATAATGATCCCAGCAACAATACATTATCAATAAACTCGAACTAATGCTGTATTTTTATAAAATATCTTAATGGGATTGTTGATATTTTTCTTATGCTATTTGAAAGGAGCCTACTGTTAAATGTATGTCTTACCTACTGCTTAAAAAGGACTTTGTTGTATATTAACTACTCCTTAAGTAATAGACTTTTTTCAAAAAAAATTTTTTTTATTATATTGGTATATCCTTTCTTGACATATGGTACAAATCTTGACATATGAGCGCCCTCTGTCAATTAGTTTGTTTACAGCAGCTATTAATGTGAGACTACCTCATTTAGCGATTTTTACTATGGTAAATTTGTTTCTTAGCAGCACTGTCATCGCTCAGGCACCATATTCGCCAGAACCGTGCGACTTTTTCCTATTCCCGAAACAAAATTGCCCCTTCGTAGTAAGCGTTTTGAGTCGATAGACGGGCCTACGCAAAGTGTATGGAAGATTGGGTTAAGCGTTGGCATATGTGTATCGCTTCAGAAGGAACATATTTTAATCTACTAGCGTAGATTCTTAATTCAAATCAATATCTAAAAGATGAGTTAGCCAGATACAATATACAGTTAGCTAATCTGCTCTGCAATTGCTTGCGATATCACTGTGACCGAATATCCATATCAATCAAAAACCGTCCTAAATTTGATTTGAACTAAATTCAAGAACTTAAAATCAATTTGATTAGCTGATAGTATATATATGCCTAACTGACACACAACAAATATGTTATTGTCAATTTAGATTTTAAGTAAAATTCAATAATTTTTGTAAGTGATGTACAAATTTCTTTATATCAATAATAAATAATATATGTGCCTATATTGAATCTTTTATCCATTTTAACACAAATAAAATCCATAATATCAATAACTCCTAAAAGATACCGCAATATTTAAATATAATATATATATTCAGAGCTATCAGTATGTATGCTTAACCCTTTTCTAACAAGGAATCTCCTGACTACCAGGCGTTTCTAAATGAAATAAAGCAATAAATCACTTTAACCTTTCAAACTGATATTTACTATAAACAAAGAATAAGATATTTTATGTCTCGAATTTCATTAAAAAAATAAAGGTTAAACTTTACACAAGAACCGCTGGAGAAAGTATTTATATATGCGAGAATACCATAAGCATTTTCTTTTTTTCATTTAAAAGCACTTGCTTTCCTTTATTTTGAACTTACCTCAATGTCTTGTTGTGTTGTTGGAGAATGCACTATAATTGAGATTTTTTCATCAACAGGTAAAGTATTGAGTACATATATCTTGTATTGTAAAGTGCCATGTGCTTTGTTGTTTAACGTCACATCTAGTAATTTTGCATCGGACGATTTAACCTTAAATAAAAATAAATAATTATTAAAATAAATTATTGTTTTATAAAAGAAATTTTAGCTATATTAATTTTTACTATATTTTATTTAATATATTTAATTACAAAATATTAAATCAAATATGAAAACATAACTGAAGAATAAACTGACCAATAGTTACCCGGGCTTTTAGCTATGATCAACTCAATTTTATCAAATTACAGGTGATCGTTACTGATCATGATTTAAATAATGTTTTTTATACACATGATTTTCTTAAACGTTAGACACTGCTTAAACACCCTTTTTTATATTTTTTATATATTGTATAAATTCAGTAAAACAGACTCTTACTTATTGTTCCTAGTTTTAACAATAGTCAGGATATAATTTTTCACTGACACTTATACGAACCCCCAAACAACTATAAGAAATTGATAACGGATTATTCATAAATTTCTAAAAAAAAAAATTGATGGTACGTGTAAGTATTAAATCAGAGCGTAACAAGGACCTAGCGTAACAAGGACCTAGCGAAACGGAACTGTTCCAAAGGCAATATGTGTGATATATGTTACAGATTAAGTGTTATATGGAACACAATCTAAGATTGTAAAACTTACAATTTAGAAAGATTGATGTTTTAGGATTTCCTACTTTTTTTCTCCTTTAGTGATTGTAAAAAATATATATGTCCAAGTACAGGGTTAGGCGACTGAAGTTTTACCTATTAAAGGGACCATATATATCTGTTTTGTGTGAAATTATTTTTTAATGATTCAAATCACAAAAATTTGTGGAAATAATCAAAATTTTAGTATCCATTCACTTTAGCTCGATGTATCCACCAATTGTCTTCACTATGGTATTCAAATGGTTAAAAAAATGAGTTGCATGCTTCATGAATATGATCTTCCGGTATTTTAACCCGTTCATGAAGAATGGCTTTTTTCACCACATACATACTGACATATTTTTTAGTCCCCACCTTTCTCTCCAAAATGAGAATAGTCCATCGGAATTGCATCTAACAAATTCGAAACCCATTGTGTGGACAAAATGAAGTGTGAAACGCTTCTTCAACTTGTAAACAAACTAGGCAATATCAGTTTCTCAGATATACCTTTATATAGTTGGTGACACTTCAATCGCTTAACCCTGTATAGTAAAATTATATTACTATGTTAAAGTTGAAGGACAACAATGTCAATTAACTTCTTCTTAAATTAATTTATTACAGACAGATTTTATTTAAAGTTAACTTCAGTTGAGAACTTAAATATATTTTATATTCAAGACAGGATTCATTTTTTTCAATACAAATTTTCGTATTTAATCGTTGCATGAAGTTGATAAAGTAATTTTTTTTTTTTCATTTTCAATTTGAATCTACGAAGAAATTTAATTGTGAATGATATATCAAGTTGTGTATTTTCCTACATTGTAAATGGCATTTAATATTTTTAATGTCATGTGACACATTACTTGGTTGGCAGTAGAAAATAGGTCATTCTTCGATAATGTGTTGAACACAGAATTTAGTAACAAAAATTTAAGTGAAGTGCATTCATTCACTGAATATTAAATAAAAAATCATACGTCAATATTAATTAAAGAAACAATTGCCTTCAAGTGAAAAAATATTTACTAAAATCATGGCAGTATTGGTATTACAATTGGTCTACACTAAGAGTCTAAGTGACCTGCATCTTTTTATGAGATGGAGTGGTATCAATTTCTGGCAAGGAAGGATTAAAATTGCCTTCAAAGTAAAAAATATTTACTAAAATCATGGAAGTATTGGTATCGCAAAACCTCTATACATAGAGTCTAAGTGACCTGCATTTTTTTATAAGATGGAGAGATACCAGTTTCTGGCAAGAAAGGGTTAAAATTATATCGCATATAATTTTAAAGTCATGTAAATATTTTTGCACTTTTTTTATCGAAGTTCATGTTATTTTAAAATAAACTTTATTTATAATATATCTTAAAAAATTAATATATATACATATAAATCTATAGTACAATACAGTTAAGTATATATATATGTGTAGGTTTTTTGTTTTGTTCTTTGTAGGATTCAAGAGAAGCATAATCGAGTTAAAACTTAGCTATAAACTTAAAATCACATAATTTTAACTATGATTCATTTTGATAAAGATCTGTATATTCTAAGACACGAAATCTATTTTAAATAGAGGCGTGGTAATAGAGAGGTAGTTTTCAAATTCAAAAAATATATTTTTAATTAAGTAAACTCAATTTAATAAAACGGAAAACATTCCGTTAGTAGATGCCCAGCATTACAAAGAAGAATTCAGAATATTTTTGTTCTTTTTTTTTTTTGAAGATCCTGTCATTTATGAAGATGTGTTTATAGCGATGCAATCAATAAGAAGAGACAAACTTAACACAATACGTGGGGAATATAATTTAATGTAGAAATGATTAATTAATAGAGCTCATTTTTAATCTTTATTTCCATAAATTTTTAAACTTAATTTCCAATTGGCAAACTTATAGATCATAATTGTACTTCCATAAATAATTGAATATAATATAGCGTCTATTACAGTTAAAATACCTTATAAAGAACTAACTAACTAGAACTGTTTCGTTTGATTTAACTTTAAACTTTAATACAATATCCTTATAAATATGAACTATTAATATTAAAATAACATAGACATGTAAAATATATAACAAATAGCTATAAATAAAAACTTTAATATAAAGAAGAAAAAAATATTACATAAAAATTATTGAAAAAAAAAATAATTATAAAAAATATTAATAAACTATATTAAACATTGTAGTTTTTATATATTCCAGGTCTCTTTCCATTATCTATCATTAAAAGTATGTCATACATTTTAATACATTTTAAAACACATTTTTTCTTTATTCCTTCGAGCCAGAAGTAGCACAAAAAATAACAATTAATATAGCAACGGAACGGAAACAAAAAGGAGACAAAAAATGACGTTGCATAAATTTAAGCGCTCTGATAATTTTGAACCGGATATTTAATTAATAATTAAAATTTTGCAAGTAAAGCGTTTGCAACTGCTGCACTGTTGTGGTCCACAGCTCAACCTCATGAGACCAAACAAAATATAAAATATATTTAAATTTTTTAAAAAATATTTTTATGAAGTATAAATATGAGATATTTACACACAAAAAGCAAGAAAAAAGAAAACATTCATGTATTAAGGTGTAAAAATTAGCAAAGAATATAAGTAAATATATATATATATATATATATATATCTGTAATTATGTGAAATAAAAAAAAAATGCTGAACTGTCATAATGCCATGCAGCGGTAGCAAAAATAATTACTAGTGTTCCATGCATTTCCCACAATTTAAAAATTTATTTTGACATGCATTTTATTAATTAATAGAATGGCGGTCATTAAAGGACGAAAAAAATTGACCGTCATTATTAAAAATAGAAATATAATAACAAAAAATTTCAAAATATTTATTAAAACATAAATTCATTAATTATGAATTTTATTTCAGAAACAAAATATATTGACACAACTCCGAAGAAAAAATCTTGTGCTACACTAAAGTTAGTGGCTTGATTTGTGTAATTAGCACCACAAAACCAGATATACAGGACTAACATTCTATAGATAATATTTCAGTTATATCACATAATGCTACAATTAAAGACAGTAAGTGTTTAGTAAAAAAAAAATATTGAATTTTTGTTGTGAGTTTCTGAATGTATATTCCAGGTTGAGCTACTATATTGAAATTAAGGTTCTATTATACCTATAACTTCTATAAAACGGATATCGACACATCAAACACATTCTGTTTGAATATTTGGAGACGAAACAAAAAAAAACCATACAATGTACTCATAACTAAATTTTCAACTATTGAAAACTAATAAAAAAAATTAATTAATTCATTTCACATAAAAACTATAATAAAATCTTTAATTTTGAGTTATTTTTCAACTTTATACAGTATTTAGTAGACTACCCCAATATGTAGCGCAGCAAAAAGTCATAAAAAAATTAAAGCCCCATAACAACATGAGCTCTTAAATTAGGATTAACAGGATTATAATTACAAAATATAAACAAGTAATAAAAAATAATACCGCGATTATACTAATTATTTTTACATTGCAAAACAATATTGAAATTAATTTTTTCTCATGTGAAATAAATGACGTAAATAGTTTTTTATATTTCATTATTGAAATAATGCATTAATTGTTTAAACTATAACAATAATTTTAACAGAGTGAAGTTCAAAGAATAGTGAATCTGTTTTGTTTTCAAGAACAATTGAGTATAATTAAAGCAATGAAATGACAAAATGATTTCAATTAAATATTTTATATTAATACAATAAATTAAAAAAAAAACATAATATTGTTTTTGTTCTTTATTTAAAATTTATACTTATTGAAATATAATTAATTGCAATTACTATGACTATTTTGACAAAAAAGCAAGGCTACAAAAATAAAAATACATATGGATATTTAAAATAAAAGAGTATATTAAATATAATATAATTTATACAATATAATTTATTGAGTTAAATTATAATATATAGATGTCAATAGACATAAATATTATTAAAATCAACAATACGAACTAATCAAAAATAATAATACCAATTAATAATAAAAACACAAACATATAATTAAAAAGAAATATAAAAGTAAATAAATAAAATAAAATAAAAATAAATTTAAATATTAAAATAATATAAATAATATAAAATAAATAATAGTATAAGTATAATATAAATATAATAATATATATTATTATATATTATATTATTACATATATATATTATTATATTATATAATAATATATAAATATATAATATAATATAATAATATAATATAAATAAATAGAAATATTAAAACAAATAGAAATATTAAAATAAATAAAAATATTAAAATAAATAGAAATATTAAAATAAATAGAAATGTTTAAATAAATAAAAATATTAAAATAAATAATAATCTTAAAATAAATAA